CTGAGGCTTTGCACAGATGAGGACCTATTCTCCAGGAACCAAACCAAGCAGCTGTTGGGAATTTGTTCACAGCCTCTGAAAAGACACTCAGGAGCACCAGCTGTCGGGTTTGCACCAGGAAAGACAGTTAGGATGGGGATTGGGAGTTTTCACCCCAATTTCTTAGGGTTAATAATGCCCAGCAATTTCCATCACTACACAACATAGTCCTGGTTTCTTTGAAACCCAAGGCTCAGAAACAGAGCAGGCATTGGAAATGAGAAGTGAGGCAGCAGCGGGGCAGCTTGGTGCTCTTAAGGGAACATTTTTAAGCCATTTAGCAGGAGTTTATTGCTCCAGCACTGGAGGCTTTGAGCATTCAAGCACGACAGGGTGTGCATTGTTGTGCCAGAAGTGCCCGCCCTGGGTGTGTGTGGTRCGGGGCAAGGGGCCAAGGGCTGTGTTTAAACGCACCCGCACGAGAAATGCGATTTAGGCAGAACAAAGCACACTCCTGTTGTGCCTCCCCGTGATTATAAAATAGATCTGTGTCATTATAAATAGAAAATGACTGGTGACAAAGATGCTGCTTTGACTCACTTCTGAGGCCAAGCTCCTTCGCTGCGGTTCCTGATGTCAGACCAATTTAGCGGCTGCGCTGCAGGCGAATGTGTCTGGTTTGGGGTTAGCCAGTCCACATCTCATGATGGCTTAATCTCATTTTCAAACAGCAGGGGATTCACTGGGCTCCTTTGCAAGCATCGCTCCTTCACCCAAGGACGGCTCTGGACGCCTTAAAAACACGCTGTGCCCGCTGCAAGGCTCAGATTGCTAAACAGTAAATTACCTCGTCCTCCAAGGGACTGCCAAACTTTCGGGGTCTGTGAAGTTGAGATCCTGCTTTTACACTAAATGGTGTGGTTCTTGTTTATTCCAGCGGGAACCAAATCAAAGACACAGAAATAATAGTGCTGRTTCAAGAGTGTAAGTTTTCCTCTTTATGCCACCTTCCAATCCCAACAAACTTCACAGCATTATTGAATTAAATAATGMAGATAAATACTCTGAATATAGATAYAGTTTTTATATTATACMATAGGTAATTAAAAAYRAAACAAAAATAAAACACCCAGACAAACCCCCCCAAACCTGAAATTAGAACTGAATCTGAAGTYGCTATTGCAGTATCTGGAATATTCTTTTCGTTTACCTCTAAGCATGCTCCTTAAAACAAACTGCAATCTTTCTGCTTCAATAATTTAATCAAAAATCCCACTTCCATTTGTATTTTTACCACAGTTTATTCCCAAAGCTGGGGATAGCCTCTCATTTCCTGAAAGCTCTTAAAAACTTTCTTAATGAAAGAGTAGAGAAATCTGCTGTTCGCAAATTCTGCTTACTTAYTGCTTACTTCCAAACTAAAGTAGTTAATTTAATGAAGAAGGGGGGGAAAAAAAGTGAAAAAGAAAAAGACTAATTTGGTGCCTGTAGCCATTTCCCAAATTCTTCAGAGTTTATAGACCTAGAGAGACAGGGAAAGAGCAACTTCTCAGCAGTGCAGCAGAATAAGCTAAAACGACCCTGTGAAACCCAAGCAATTCTGGGAATTAAAGGATGCTCACTCCTGTTATGGTTCTACACTGCAAACAGCTTTTAGGGCTCCCAGTAGTACCCATTAGCAATAGCCAAGCTTTTCTGTTTTAATTTAATTTAATTTAATTTCCACCAGCAAATTCCACCCTGTGGTGAGAATTGACAGTATCATGTTGAGAACCATTAAAGCATATTTGGATTGTTTTTACTCCATGTATACATTAAAAAAAAAAAAAAAATCCCCCACCCTTCTTAGTTTTCTTTAGACAAGCCACTTCATAATAAGAGTGAGGCAGACACAATGGAGGCATCGTTGTGCTGTGGGACTCCACCATAGGGAGTGTGGTTGGAGATAGAGCAGAACATGCCTTGGCATCGCACTGGGACAGCCTGGTGCCACTCTGAACATCCCATGGGACCAGAACAGAGCCTGGCACTGCTCGTGCCCCACCAGTCACCACCTGCTGTCCTTCTTCTGCACTAAGACCCTTTAAATTGCTGCTGCCTCCTTTTCTCCTTGAGTGTGCTCTGCTCTCTCTGCACTCAAACATCTTCGTGCCTATGCAGCCTTTGGCTTTACTGGGAATTCCTATTGGGAATTCCCCCACTGGGAATTCTGCCACCAGATTTCAAAGGGAGGAGAATAATAATGCCCTTCATTAATGTAGGTTTTTCTGTCATGACTTTTAGGCCCCTCTCCAGGCAGGCAGGCGAGCACATGTTTAACATTAAACACATCAGTAGTCCCTATTGACATGCTGCAAGCTAGAAACGYTCATTAGCGCTGGATGACGGCCCCAGCTGAGCTCTGACACTGCAGTCAGGACGAAAGGTGGCCTTTAAACCTTTCATCGTGGTTGCACCGTCACTGCTGGGGCAGTTTCAGCTCCTCCAGCGGGTGATGGGTCCCCCTGGAAGCAGAGGCACAACCCACTGAGCTGTGACAACGTCATCATTCAGAGCTGCTCAGCTCAAATGCACCAAACACATCCTTGGGAGAGTCTTCAGGAGCAGCATCTCTCCASTGAGTGGTGAAAGGGGAATGATTTGGGGAAACAAGTGAATAAAATGATTGCTGTGGTCTCTGAGAGGCTGCTGAGTCCTGYGTGGGGAGTGCCTGAGGGGTTACGCGGGATTCTTTGGGATTTTATGTCACATGGTAAAAAATGGACTGAACAAGCTTTGGAAAACATCACTGGATGGGGTTTCTGGGCTTTTCTGGGGTCGAGTGTTGTTTGCAATGTGGGAAATAAAGGAAATAAAGCCGCTTAATGCTCTCTGCTTTCCCCACACATGAGCTGGAAGAGGAGAAAAAGGAACAGGATTCCTCTTTTCACTGCTGAGAACCCAGTGGACTATCATAGTTCGGTGTCCAAACCAGCACATCCCTCCTGGAAGGAGGAAATGGAAAATTTGTGACTCAGAGGCAACAGGTCTATTACCTCAGAGAAAGCCCTAGGCAAAGTCACCTTCACCATGCTGCCTTGCTCGTGTCTGTGCTGAAATTCACAGTCCAGACTAAACAGTCCATCACTCTTGGTTAAATTATCCCAGATGAAAAGACACAATTTTTCTAATGCTTTTAATACTGTTTTCTCAAAAAAAAAAAAAAAATAAAAAAAAATCATTACCTCCTTCAGCTGCTCAACAAGTATAAACCTTACTGCTTTCCTGCCTCCTCTGGAATTACAACGTCATTGCAGACATCAAAATTAATAAAGAGGTGAAAGATTCAGCAGAAAGGCAAAATATTACWGGAAAAATATTTCTTAATATCAAAAGTAATTCAAGAATAAGGAATACATCWAGAAGAGTAATAAACAAAGGCAAATTTTCTGATGCTTAAAAGAATACACATGAAGGAGGAAACAAGACTTTGGGTTTTTTTTTTTTCTTTGAAACACCAATTCGTTTTAAAAAAAAATAATGCTTCCATGTGCTTCTGGATTTGCAGGAGTGTGATTTCCACTGGCTAGATTTTTGCAATACTTTCAACTCAGCTAATTATCCAAACTCAGGTGATGCAGACAGGGGCTTCATCCCACCAGGTGGAAGGGTTACAGTAAAACACTTTTTCCACAAGAATCCTGTTACTTATCACTGAGGAAATGGTTACAGCTAACTTGGAGCTGAAGCTGAGCACAGATAAGAGAGGGAGAAAGGTGTTTAGGGGTTAGAATAAAATAAATATATGTTTAAAATAAATGCTACGTGCAGTTCAGCTGAACTTYCTTGTAGGAAACAAAGTTGTTTATTTTCTTTATGATATAGACTGTCATTCCCCCTTGGCAGTGGCTTTTCAGCTGATGCAAACAGAGGAGTAACCTGGAGCTCTATATTCCTGATAAAGCAAAATCTTGATGTGATTTCTATAAGAAAAAATGTTTCTCAGAAGCCCTGGTTTAAACAGACTTTAAACAGATATGTTTTAGTCCTACCTGTGCAGCAAAATGACCTCTGGGTGAATCAGTCAGCAGAGAATAAGGATAACTAATCTATGGGATCCTCAAGAACTCCCATACCACTGCTAATAGAAGAAAAATCAATATTCATTCCAATATGAATGAAGTGTTGGACTGACTGAGCAGAGAGCTTTGAAATAAGTATCTAAGAAATGTTTGGATGAAATGGACATCTTCACAGACATTTGGTCTGCATTTCTGAAATGTAGATGATTAAATCCACATTGTTGGCTTCTTCCCCCTCTGCACTATGTCTTTCTTTACATCTTGCAAAAAAATTTATGAACAAAGTTATTGTAAATCTGCAATGTCTGTCTTGTCACTTAGATTCTTTTCAGAAATGCTGCCTTGCCAATGTAGATATACAATCCTGTATGATTAATATTTATTACTTATAATTCTAAATACAATGGAAGGTCACCAAAAATACTCTGCCTAAAAGAGTCTGGAGCCCTTTTAAATTGTGTTGGTGATGGATCCTGAGTTTTGAGAAYTGAGCTTAAAATCTTAGCAAAACACTTTCCTATGTAGGATTTCCAGTATTTCCTGCTTCTGGCTATGGATAAAGCCAAAAAAGCACAAAGGTGAGTGAAAGTTACAGATCTGAAAACATGAGCTTAGATTTCAAACCCAAACAAAGGTCAAGGAATGCCTGWACATGTCCACAATCTTGGATCAGCCAGTAATAGAGTTATGAACAAAATGCAAAGTTGGGATGCAGAATGAGACTTGAATTCAAGTAGAACAGGCACCACAGCTGAAAACTGCTCCATTTTCCTCTAATATTTTCTCATATCCATAATTTATTTTATCAAGACATTTTGGAATATTGTTTGAAAAGCAAAGATATGTAAGAAATTTTTTTTGTAATGAATTAAAAGAAAATTAGCATGAGGATTTTCAGATTTTATTATGAAATCTTAAAAATATTTGAAGAACATGCAAATCGTCTTAGAAAAAGCTCATTGCACTTATAGCTCATTTTCTTTTAATATAAGCCYAACCATTTTTAAGCACAATTTTTAAAAAAACAGATGCAATTTGAGGTCAATTAAATCAACAGACTGTGATTTGTCCCTCTTCTATGAATAATAAAGACAAACATATAAGAGCATTTCAGAATTATGAGATTCAGAAAAACAGTGAAGATTCTGAGAAGAAAATCAAGGGCAGACCCTGGTTCACCTGTCCAAGAACTGCTGCATGTTTGGACAGCCTTCTTTCAGAAGCTAAACAATAATCAGAGAGCAAGAGTCTGCATCTGATTCAGTGTCTTTTATTCAAAGATTCACTGCAACTGTGACTAAGCAAAGCTACTGATTGAAGTGAAAACCTAGGAAAAGACAACTGGGAAAAACGTACTTTCTGTTGATCAACAGGATCATACTGAAAGTAAAAAATCCCCAGGACCATTGATCGAAGACTTTTCACTGGGAACGAATTTGCAGAGCTTTGATAATAACACTTTTCTAAACTGACTGAGCCATCCAGACCCACGTGCTGAGTGAAAACAAAACTAGAAAGACAGACAGAAAGGATCGAGTCAAATGACATAAATAAATAAATAAATAATTGTCTGAATTATTTTTAAAAGAAAAAGAATAATATCACAATAATTCCAATCTCATGAAGAAATGTTTTTAACAAGCCATATGTGCTTGTTTAGACACTTCTAATCTCATTACATTTTTCTGGCTGCTACCAGTGTTCTCTGAGCCAGCTGATTTCTCAGTAATATTTTAAAGAGTGCAAGCCTTTGCCCTCCAGTCTAGCCACTGCTAAAATAGCCCGTTCTAGGAGAAGACTTGGGAGTTCATGGATTTTCTTCCGAGGTTTTGAAAGTTCAGAACAAATTGACCATTGCACACAAAACAATAACCAACCGCAAACTCTCTTCAGTCAATGAGCAACATTCTACTCCCAGCTGGGTTAGTGTGAAAAGTGGAATAATCCCACCAAAGCAACAGGATGGTTTMAGATTGTCATCAGAATCACACAGCAGAGGCTGGTTTTCAATGTTGTTCCACTTTCCCAGCTCTCTGGCTGYGAACAAGTCTGCTGTGAGGTTCCCCTCGGTCACAGCTCACCAGCTTGGGGTTCCCCTCAAATCAGTGCAGCTCCAGCAGCTCTGATCAGAAGGGGAGCCACATCAGGTTACAGCTCAGCTTTATTTTATCATTTAAAACAGCAGCAAATCCCCCCCAACCTGAAACCCGCGAGCCATGTGCTCGGCTGTACATATTGGAGCACGAGTTTCAAGGGAAAGAGCTGTCATTCTGAATTTGCTAAAGGAACGTGCAAATAATCACTGGTGTGAAGCAGATGTGCCAGGCAGGCACTGCAGATAGAGCAAAACAATCTCTTTTAGAAAGAAACCCTAATTCAGAATTATCAACTGGGATGGGTAAAGCCTGGATGAGCAGGACTGAGGCATCATGCCCAGATTTGTGCTAGCACTCTTGCTGAATTCCTGGCTGGAAATGTGCCTCTCACTGTGCCAGCCTGCCCSCTTCGAGGCTCTCAGAGCAAACTCCTCCTGGGGTGAGATGATGAGTGCTTGAAAGTGACCCATCTGGAGCCCAAGGCGACGAAAGCGCTTCCCCTGCCTGGAATCCGTGCGCAGCGACAGCTTCCYGCTGCTGATGTGAGTTTCCCAAGATAGCAATTATAAAGGAACTGGCAACCATGCAGTCAAGATGACAATATCCTACGTGGTTTGGTTTGCTGTGCCAATTCCCTCTGTGGGTGCTGGAGTCAATCTGCTGCCCCTGTTATTGCTGTGTCTGTCTGTCTCTACCCACCAGCACATCCACTGGGCATTTGGCACAGGCCCTGCTCTTCCAAGGGCTGCCTGTTCAATTGCTCATTCACTCTCTTTTGCTTTAAACATTCGGATCCAACAACACCATGCAAATTTTATGCAGAGTAGCATCTGCAAGTCTGACATATTCGCTCAGGCTTCCCCCTCTTGCGCCAAGTTAAAAATAAATACCCTATAAACTCCTGGGCCTGCTAAGACAGAAGATGCATTCACAGAGTTTATTTAAATATAACTGCTAAGAGCATTTCTGCTTTAGGGTCAAACTCCTATTTTTCTCCTCTCTCTCTCTTATATTTTGTTCATGCCTCAAGGATCTTAATAGAACTGGGGGAAAAAGYGTCCTTGAAATAACCTAGAGAAGAACCAGTCCTATGTGTTTCTAACTCTCTTACCTGAAATTTCAGCTATTTTTAAAASTCTAAAGAATACAGGTCATGAATGTATCCTGAACACAGAACAAGAAACTAGTCATGTGGATTCATTTCCAATACTGATTGCAAATAATACTAGTTCAGCCAGATTTTGGGTTWGACTTCAAAAGGTCTCCACCACCCCCCACCCCCAATAGAGCTGCCTTCTCTTTTCTCAAGGGAGAGGCAGATTTGTCCCTGCCCACTTGGAACAGGTGAAGTCATAGCGATGCCAACCAGACAGCATAAGGATAAAGTACATCTTAAGGCAACAAGGAGAAGAGTCTGTAAAAGGGGATACTGAGCCACRGCTGGGGGCAGTTAGGACTTGCTGAGCCTCTTGGCCACGTCTGCRTAGGCTTGCTCGATTTCTTTGTCTGCTGCACAGGTGTTGGTGAACTCATCCCTGGCGTAGGCGTTCTTCAGGTACCGCCACAGCCCCGTCATCTCCGCCGGGAACTCRAAGTTGCGGTATTTCTTTGCAACAATCTAAAGCAAAGATAAAACACGTGAAAAAAGGCATCTCACTGGTGATGTATCTCCAGGTTCCTTCTTAGGGAGCTTCTTGCTCTTTTCTGTCATATAATTAATAGCAAGCAAGAGGAAGGTTTGGAGGATTGGGGTCTTACCATAAAAAAGCCTGAGAAGTGACTGCTGGTTGTCCCRTATTTTGCGAGGCAGCTGCTTGGCCTAAGGACACTCTAAAGCTACTCTTACCAAATTGCAACTTTTATAGTACTTGAAGTCCATTGATTTTACAATATTGAGGTTTTTGGAGCTTTTTTACAAGTCTTAAGTACATCACTTAAATCTGAGACACCACATAAGAAGGRGCTGAATCATAAAAAGCAAGACAGATTTAAGAGAAAGGCATTAGTAATGATTATTAYATATTTTCATATTAATTATTATGTTTAACATTATTATACATATATATGGTATTGTATTTTTAATATATGTAATGTATTTCTCCTGACCAATGGTGTCAGAGGATATAACAACGTACAGCTGTTGGAAGGCTGTATCTGTGTTCATGAAAAGGAAAAACTCAGGGTGGTATGAGTACCATGATTAGGAAACCAAGATGATTTAGCATATATTAGAAACAGGAGCATTGGGATAAACTGAGGGAGAAAATGGTTATTTCAAGACTTGTTAGACTAGGAAATTGTCCATCAAGGCAAATTTTTGATTTCTAAAAACACTCAAGCCCTTATTCAGGAAAATAGTTAAGTGCATACTTAATTTTAAGCACCTGTACAGTCCCATTGAAGTCAATGGGATTAATCTGTACTTAAAGCTAGTTGGTTGGTTAAGTACCTTGCTGGATTGGGATATTTCAKTTTCCCTGTAGGAATATACCATACAGAATAAGCCTGTGGTGACAGAATGAACTAGCTGATAGGAAGGGATGGATTAGCTAATTTAATGAGTGCTTCCAATCTCTAATTTTTCTGACAGTATAAAATTGTTCCTGGGCATAAATTACATACATATGTGCCACAGAGTTCCCCTTTATTTTTAAAGCACATGGTAGAGCTGTTTTCCATCTCAGATTTCTTAGGATAGTCATGTTCTCAGAAACGACTGTGATTTGTTTTTATTACCAGGATCYACTTGGTGTATGCAAGTCCAAATCCTGTCCTAAACTGCATTTAATTAAACATTCTTGCCTTCCATGRTGCTTCACACGCATATGGGGAAGATAAAACCTGCTGAGCAACTTAAGTCAACATTTTCAAAATTTCCAGCACACATCCTCCATCAAATGAAAAAATAATTTACCCTTTTCTTCTATCTGTAAATTGCTTTTCAGGCAATATYCTATGGCTATGCTTGTCTGAGAAAAATTTTAAGTCTCTTTTGACATCTTTCATTTCATCCCAAGGAGACAAAAAACAGTAAGGGGCCACACATTCATTTTGCATTGTCTGACTGCAATGTCGCCAATGAAGACAAGCCAAAAAAAGCGTTAAACCTGTGAGGATATTATCACATTTCTTACCTGGTGACTTATGTGCTTTTCTGGTTTTTTTGGTTGGGTTTTTTTTTTCTTTTTGCATGTGTGCAGTCAGCTCCCAGGCTCAGTTTATGTTTTGGCTCACAGAGCCAAATTAGATGCATGACTTGGCTTTAATTCCTAGCTTGCTCGCTTGCCAAGGTCTGCCAGGTACTTGCGTTACTCTAAAGCAACATGTCATCTGATAAATTAAATAAATGCAACATTTCGAAGTCAAGATGATGTACACGATTTGCACTATACCAGCAACCATAGAACATCTTAAATCCTGGACCTCGGCAGTGACTTTGATTTCTTAACTTCTCTGTGTGAAATACCAGATGGAATAAATATTCCCCAAAGAGATGGACTGCTGCTCTGAAGTTACAAATGGGTGGGAACTGACTAAAGTTTTGACATGTTTCTTAARAGTATTAGGAACTAATTAATATGAAAGACTGGTGTTTCTTGCAGGAGAGTAAAAATAAAGAGACGAGACACCTTAGAAATTAATATTGTCTTTGCCACTAATTAGTGATGGGACAGTTTTCCCATGTCCTAAAGTTCCCTGTAACATATAGGAAACACTGAGGAGAAAGTGTGTTTCAAAGTGCTCTTTTTGGACTCAATGTGTGAAATACACATTGGCTTCAGGACTCAGCTGTCAGAGCAAGGCACATCAGTGTCAGATAAGGCTTCTTGGACCATCTCATGACATTTTTTACCTTGACAACATGGAGTTTGGGCAGAAGGTTGCAGTCAGCAAGTGTCAGGTCATCCCCATCCAGAAACTTGCGTTTAGAYACTTTATCCTCTTCAGTGCTGTTTGCATCGATCTCCTCTGGCAGGGGAGTTCTCAGGTAGTCATCCAGCTTCTTCAGAGCCTTCACCAAGCCCCTTTCAAGAGCTTTGCCAAAAAAAGCAAAGAATATGTGATTAGGGCAGAATAAGGATTGTTTATAAACACACATTGTCAATGTCTATGGTAGTGTCTAGGAAAAAAAGTCAAGAACCAATTTCTTTGTTGTTAATTCATGTTCYAAAACCTACAAAATCTGGGCAAAGYAGCCCAGCAAGGTACATCTGCCWGAGGATAAMGCTCATCCTGCAGTGGGAAAAGGGACACAGGGACCTTGCTGTGCCATGGCTTCTCTGACAAACAACAAAAAGCAATGAAAGAGATCACAGAAGCAGAAAACAACTTGTCAGTATGACATCAGAAAAACATGTGTTCCTTGGAATATTCTTCTGGTCTGTTGAAAGCCATACACAGGAACTGGAACCTGTATACTGCTCCTTCATTTTTCTGACCACCCACGTAGAACTGCAATGAAGCTGCATTTTCTAGCATTACTTCAGCTCCATCAATTCTTAGTTTTACTTCTTTCAACCCCCTTCCAGAGTAATTAAAAGCAATATCAATTCCAAAGATGTTAACCAGAGCTCCATGAGGCTGAAAGACATACTATAAATGAGGYATTAGCCAGTGTTACAATTCCCATTTAACTCAGGTGCAACTTGGGTGAAAATGCTCTTTTTGAGAGGTCTCAAATGGGGTCTCACAATGGAGAGGAGACTCCAAACCTCTTAGTTTGGTTACTGAAGATCATGTCCCACACTGCTGCTGGCTCCAGTCTTCAGATCCCACCTAGACCTCTACAGCAGTGTGCAAATTTTTCAGTCAGGCAAGGAATTTGTGTTCTTATGCTTCACTGTCAGGATAACAGAAAAACTTGCTTGCAATAAGGCACTTTAAAAAATCTGAATAACTCTACGTGGGTTTGTGTGTTACTTAAACTGCAAACACTTGGGGGCAAGAAGGGTCTTCCGTGTTTCTGTTTGAAGGGTGACAAGCATGATGGAGTCCTGGTCCCCCACAAGTGCCCCAAAGTGCTAAAGCAACATAAATAAGGAACAGAAAGAATTTACAACGTGAAAAAATAACAACATGACTCATGGGCTTAGGGCCAGAATTTCAGCTGGTGAAAATTACCTGCAGTGATTTATACCTGCTGCAGATGTGGCCTGGAGTCAGTATTAATGGCCTAATACTGTAAAATCTTATATCTCTGAGTAACTTGCTGCCCCTGAACTTAGGGGAGAGCTACTCAGGTGGTGTAGCATTACAAGGCCTATGGAGATAAAGGACAAAGAGCGATGGGTTCAGATTGAAACAGAAGAAATTTGGTTATTTATATTGAGGAATTCTTTATTGTGAGGTAGTGAGGCACAGGAACAGGATGGCCASAGAAGCTGGCAGTRTTCARAGCCAGGTTGGATGGGGMTTGGAGCAACCTGGGATAGTGGGAGGTGTCCATGGCAGGGGGTTTGCAACTAAATGGTCTTTTAAGGTGTTTTCCAATCCAAACAATTTGATGATTCTGTGGTCCTAAAAATATTTATGGGCCACAACAGGAGCTCCAAAGGGCTGCAGCAATCACCCTGTACAGAGAGCCCTGCTGGCACAGGCAGCTCCACAGGCTCTTTGTCAGCTGCCCCTGTGCTCTTGGCACAGGGAGAAAGGCAGCACGTCCAGGGCCACTGAGAGAGCAGGAGCTGAGCACCACAGAACATGATTTCTCTGCTGCCCTAACATCCATTAAACCTGTGCCAGYGGTGGAAGTCACATTAAGCCTCTTGATGCCTTGCTCCCACTGAAGGCTCTTGGCCCAGCACCAGGGAACCCTACCAGCTCTTTTGTGGCTGACTCTGAGACACAGTGGCAAACCCTGGCTTAATTGATTGACTGGAGAAATGACTGCAATCCAACTGAAAACACCCCCACAAACATAGCAGGGAGGGAAGGAATTTTATTTCTGAAAGCRGAGCATCTAAAGCGACTGAAGTGCTGCCATCCATAAAACAAAAGTGTTGCCATCCCTCATTTAATCATTTCAAATTGAATTCTGACACTGACATTCTGCTGTCAGATGCTGGCAGCRGTGCCTTTAATCGCCTGCAGCTGTCCTGTGTCCCACAATTTCCACAGGAGGGAAGGAACTGGGGAGTGTGGCAGCACTCAAAAGGACTTAGAAATCTCTTTTTGGTTTGACCTGTAACACCTGCTGAATGGACAGTTCTCCTTCTCTTGGTCAGCCTCAGACTGTGTCCTCTTACAGACAATGGGCTGGAATYAACTGTGATTTAATTCAATTTTGTTCATCTGGATTTTAGAGAACTGGCTCAATGCTGACTGTCTCCCAGAATTCCCTTCACCCAGTAGGATTGTTGACTCTCCAAGTCATCTGAGCAATATTCCAGGATCAGGAGAACGTCTGATGCTTTGTGCCAGTCCATGGGGTCAGTCAGGTGTGTGCACAGAGACAGGAGGAGAAGGTGAGATGTGTTTACATAATTTTCTGGAACTTATTAGGTTTTGGKTTTTTTTTTTACTCTCATTGCTCTATCAAAGTGCGTCATGGCTGTCCCAAAAACAATGCCTGGAGTGAAGCCTGTTTGCGACAGTGAGAAAAACAACTATCTGAATTCATCCTTGGCACTTGCATACGGCAGCTTTGGGCCAGAAATAAGCATATGTTCAGGGTTCAATACATGTGTGACCTAATTCACAGGCTCTGCTGCAGCCCACAGCATCCTGACATCTCACCATGAAATCGCCACACGGTCAGGACCATCTTCTATCCTGGTAGTCAAGAACAGAACAACTACTTGTGACACCAATGATCCCATTTATTTAATCAAAACTCTCCTGGTCCTAGTAAATCCCTCAGAACAGCCAGGAAAATAGAAAAAATAATAGAAAAGAGAGAACCCTCCAATTAAATAGTGACAGAATTTTTAAAAACTAAGGTAATTAAAATCAAAAAATTGCCATATCAAATGGATTTTAGGTGCACTGGGTCAGATTTTTAAAGCCTGTCAACGGTTGAAATCCATATGCAAATATCCATGTTGCAAATCCTATTTTCTAGGTGCCCTGACACACTCAGATTTATCCATATGGTTTGAAATCTTATGTTCCTTGAGAAGGTATTTGGGGAAATCCCCACTCAAAGGAGGAGGGTGTTTAAAGAAACTAATTTGCTCTCTTACMTGGTAGATATTTAAGTATTAAGTGAAAGGTGGAAAATTGCAAATGGAGAAATTCAAACAACCTTTTCAGAACAGCCTACAGCTCTGAATGCTCTGGGACTCTTCCTGAGGAAAGAACTGTCTGGGTTCCTACTGCTGACCAAACTCATCTTGATTTAATTCCTTAAATTTGGATTTAATTCCAAACTTCCCATACTACAGCTGTTTCATGAAAATCTGGATGGCTCTCCACATTGTCTCCAGTGAGAAAACAGGGGAGAGGATGCACTCCCCAGGGCAGGGGCCATGTGAGCACCACTSACAGCACCAGACTGGATGAAGATGTTTAAAAATAAGTGAAGAACTGAAAAATTACTAATTCCCATTTGTGAGAGTACCACCCACAGCGAGTTTCAKAAGTGGCTAAGCACCTAATTCCCTTGGCAACTTGTTCTGTGGGAAACATCATTAAATAACTAAATAAGTTTGCTGATAACAGCCAATGGGTGGGATTAATCTTCCCTGAAGTGAGTAAATTAAAATAACAGGTTTGAATTAAACACCCTGAGAGCTTCCTCTGTGTTCAGTGGATTTTCTCTTCTACATTTGTTTTTGGTGACCCCTAAATGAGCTGTGGGGAGAACTTTTCCTAAAGTATTTAATGTCACCCTTGCACTGTCTTGGCAACATCAGGGTGGAGGATTCAATATTACAACACCAAGCAGAACCAAGCCTGAGTACATGGCTCTGGGCTGCTTTTGAAATTTCTACCTCCAATTGCTTCCCCACCCTGCAGACTCTCAGTAGGAACACAGAGATCCCAAATGTGACCAGCTCTGAGAGAGGAGCTCTGCCATCAGCTTATCCTTGAAGCAGCTGAAATGTCTGAACTCCTGAAAACCATTTTTCTGGACAGTGAAATCACCAAGCACAAAGGCACCAGCATATTATTGCCTCCACTGGGATATATTTACTATAACCTCAAATTCCAAGAAGTTCTACCCCTGTACACACAAAATCCATGGTGGAACCATCTCTCTCAGCCTTCTCGGCTTCATGCTGGGCTACTTATGCAGCCAAAGACAACTTCCAGCAATCACAGTCCTGCCCTGTCATCCCACCAATAGTAAACAACAATATTAATAAAAAAGCCTCATGAGCTTTTTGTGATTTTTCTTCTCCCTTCAAAACTATGATTTTAAACAACTTYATTTAAGAATCCTGAGTTAGAAGCCAGAAAAATAGCACTTTCCAACCTCAAAGCAACCACAGAACACTTAATGAATGTATTACCATCTGTCAAATGCACAGGGTGAGGTTCAATTTAGCTGATGATACCTAATTCACAATGACGTTCTGTTTTCAGCAGAAGGTTTCTTGATGTTGAACAATGAGATTAACAAATTCTGACATGCACAGAAATACAAATAATGTAACAAAAGTTAATAATTGGCAAAATTGTGCTCTCAGTTACACTGACATGAAAGAGGAGTAACTCTGCATTGTCAACAAGCTATTCCATATTCAGCTATTCCATATTCAGTCAGTTCAACCAAGAACAGACTTTGGCTCTGTTACTCAACTCTTCAGGCAAAAACTTCCTTAAACTATTAGCCTGTGCAGTATTTCCAGGGGACAGAGAGAAATCCTTGTGCCTTGAAGTACTTAATACCACATCTGAACAAAACATTGGAAAATGTAAYGCCTGGAGCAATCCTGCAAGTCAAGCACAGGGCCAGATGACAAAGATTCATTAATAGGTACTCAGGGTGACATTTTGGCCATCCTGAAGCCCGTGGAAGTTTTGCTGTTGACTTCAGTGGGGTTAGGATTTCTCCAGCAGCTTTTAAAGCCAAAAGAGACTATTTCAATTAG